TCCAAAAAGAATTAAAACAGAAGTTAATTCCACACACTCCACACCATATCATACAACTCACTCCTGATTTAATTCTTCTACGGAGGGGCAACAGAAAATCAGCTACTAAAGACTAAAAAGAATTAACACCTGATTTAATTCTTTTAAATTCATCTTTTCACACTCTTCCCCTTCGAAAAGGCGTCCGGGCAGGGTGTGGAGCACTTGCAATTGAAGACCTGATGTCACCACCGACTGGCACAGCACCTTTTTTCTTGGCACGAACTCTCTCCCACTTCACCAGCAACATGCTCAAGATCCTGTGCTGACCCCTTTGTCAGGTTATGCTAGCATTTGTGCAGCTCTTGTTTTTTTTTGTTTTCACTAGGCCAAAGCCAATACGGACATCACAGATACTGATTTTTTAGATATATTTTTATATATTTTGAGGCAAACGAAGCCAACTCTCGGAGGTCTTAAACACAAATGAAGTAACACATATTTTTTGTTCGAGCAAAGCTGCAAGCCAGAAGAATGCAACAGTTGCGCTCTCGCTATGTGTGTGTGACGCGACAGGCCAGGGCATTCTTGGAGAGCTCTGGTGTCCCTTTCAACGGAGAGGAGCAATGGGCCGTGGTGAAGACCAGCAAGGGCCACGACTGGGTGCAGGCTCCTGGGCTGAAAAATGGGGAAATGGCGGGCCTCTCGCTGAGGTTGAGACTCCAGGAAGGCCAGTGAATAGATGAATAGAAAGAGAGAGAGAGAGAGAGAAAGGGAGAGAGGGAGATGGCCTTTCGGCTTCTGGAGACATACCAGAACACTCGCAGAAATGTGGGGAGACGGCTGAGACGCGCCTTGGGAAAGCAAGTGAACATCAGCTCACACCAAGGCTGGTGATGCGGGGCCAAGCACCACAGCTAGAGCAGCTAGATGAAAGCCGGTGATGCGTCATGCTGACGTGATCTGAGGTCGGGAACCGTGGAGAACAACCTGGCAAAAGTCACCAGGAGGCGGAATCCCGGAAAGCATCAGGATGCTGGCTCCCAGCCTTTGCGCGTGCCCGTGCTTTCGAACATATAGAGATATATATATATATATACATTTACACACACACACGTCACACACACACACATATATATATACATACATACATATATTTAGATAAGATAGTGTAGCCAGTATACGCATACAGCATACATGAATGAATGAACACTGTATGTATACATAGACAAAGCATACACACAATACCTGCACACACCCATGTATATTATATATACAATGCCCTCCATTATTAGCTACCCAACAAATTGAAATACTCGCTCCTTTTTGCAATTGCTTCGAACCTTCCTTGATTAGTCTGTTCCACAACTAGGTTGCATGTGTTTCTCAGCCCCTTCCCTTGTTATTTGCTTCTTGCTGAGCTCTATACGCAAAGGAACTGCAATAGCCAGACCAGCGACAAACAGTTGATTGACCGCTATCATTGCAATATACGTCATGACCCATTGCTCTTCAATTCTAGTATGTTCTAGTCACCCTTTGCTTAAACAGTGGCCCTTCCCGTTTGGAGGTAGTTGGTTGCAGATGAAGCCTTGCAGAACATACTGTAGGTTCTTATATAGACAGGAATTTCCAAACAGTTGTCAAGGATGAGAGCGAATAAAAGGATGGTAGACATATGTAGGCATGTATAATAATAGAAGGGTTGTGGATAAGGTGGGGTGGTGGGGTGCCTTTTGTGCGGTCAGACTCAGAGTCAGACTGGTCAGAGGCTTATTAAAGGTAAGAATTGGAGAATAGCAATGAATGAGAGAAGAAGGTTTTGGACAAGGTAGGCTGTTTGTGTGCAGGCGAAGGTTCCATAAAGAAAGGCGGGTGTGAAACTTTTTGGAGTAAAGCATAGTAAAGCGCATATACACTCCAATCATTGGAACCAAACAGATCCTTATGAAGAAAGGAAAGAGCAGAGGTTCTTCAAATCCTCTAGCTGCATAGACCATAGATTGAAGGAATATTCGCACAAGGGCTCGCACATATCAAATGATCAGATGCAACAATCTTAATTCTAAAAGAGTGCACTTCCACGGCTCCCGGCCGGGGAGTTCACGCTGGTCGGTGCTGCGGTTTGGCCCGGCCCCACACACGGATGTTTGTGGCATCAGGCAGTTATTAAGACCTGCTAAATTTCCATAATCCAGGGCGCTTGTCTCTTTGGTTTCAACTCCTGAGGTTGGTTGATAAGGTCTGGGACTGGATCCATGGGACTGGATCCATCAAAAACGAGTTCAAGATGAAAAACATGTTTATTTAGAACCTCAAAGAGATCTAAAACGAAGGGTTGGCGCACCAAGAGTGGCAGTTCCATGAGGAGAGCGGTCATGTGTCGTGACTTCATGTATTGTTTAAGTTGGTCAAACCCACTTCGACACTCGCCCACCCCCACCTTGAAATCGTGGCATGCTGTCCATACGTGACTTTTGATGGCTTCCATCATTTTGGGTCAAACATTTTGGGTCACTCCAACTACCCAAACCATCTTAGGGACACGCCGCGACGCAGGAGTACGGCCGACCACCCCCCTGGGAAGAGTGAGGCTCGGGCTCGGCCCGCAGTGGGCCCTGGCTGACGATCAGCTGGAAGAATCGGTTGTGCTGTGTTGTGCCGAAGAGAAAACAAAGAACATGACTCTGAACGGAGATGTTAGGATGAGTATTGTCAAGCTTGGTGAAATATGTTTGGCCTTTTTTCCACCTGACAAAAAGAGCTATAGTTACGCCTTGTCAGTTCCAAGGGGAGAGTCTGAGGAACGAATGCCAGAAAAGAACCAGGAGGCAAAAAAAGTTTGGAAAGAGCAGGAATACAAGACAGAAGCAACAAGGAACGATTGTTGGCGTGCCCAGCACGTGCCGAACACGGCCGATTCGGAATGCAATTGCAGGGACGACACTTCCAAATATTTTCGGTCGAAGACCAGCGACGCCTCAGTATGAAGCGGACAAGATTTCGGGCAAAGGAGTGTGGGTGAGCGGAACATCATTCCTGATCTTGTGTATTCCTTCCTTGTGATTGGTGCCTTTGGAGGCCATGTGGTTGACCCCACCAGAAGAACTCGCCCGTTGTAGCAGCTCGTTTTGGCAGAGCGCTCCTATGAATTTGGAATGATTTGGAGGAATTGGATGTATACCAGCGGTAGAGCATTTCTGAAAGCCACCGACGTCCGCCACCCATGGCATCTGTATCACTGGGACCCCCAGTCGTCGCGAAAGGACCACTTTTGGCTGCATACGGTGCACCCCCAAACCTGAGGACCACCAGGTTTATTGGCCCGTTCTCAGGGTGTTTTCATTTACAACCTGATTCGAACCCCAAAGTCGTTTGCGAACAGGGTTGCGCAGTTGAGACGCTGTCAGATCCAATTCCACGGTCACAAAATTACCCTTTGAGCCTTTCACACATAGTTTTTCTGCCTACCTGGTGGGCACCTCTCCGCGAAGCCTGCCTTTTTGGAGCAGAAAGCACCCGGAATCGGGTCTTAGGACGCTTCTGAGATTTGCTCAGGTGGTGCCTGGGCACCACGAGTCATGACATGCGGATTGTTCAAGCTTTTTGCAGTGCACTGATTCATGGCACTGGTTCGTGCACCGGTGTTTGGGCCTCATCAGAGTCTGAGAGTCGGATGTCGGTGCCTGGCTGCAGTAGTGGCACACCTCCTGGGTACGCGCCTGCGCCGACTGAACCGTCCAACGTCGGGGAGTCGGCTGGGCAGGTGCTGGGCCGAGTTTTCAAGCCGCGGAGGGCAAAACACACTCCGAGAGGAAGTGAGCGACACGCCGAGCCGGGGGGAGACAAGACACGCCGACGCGCCGACGCGCGGCCGAACGAATTGGGCGGATCGAAGTGGGAGTTTGATGAAGTGCCACCGAATTCGTCCGGAAGAGACGGCCCATTGGTGCTTTGAGATGGCCCATTCTTTCTTGAAAGCACAGCACTGGAGCTGCTTGATTTGTGAGTTAGTTTTGGAGAAGTTGGCTTGAACGTGTAGCAGACGTAAGGCAGCACACATGGAGCCTATACGTCATTGACGCATCCATGTGGGGGGACCTGCCCCCTTCCAGGTGCTGCCAATATCACAATGCAAATCGGAACAAACTTTTCTTTCAAACAGGTAATGATCGGATTGTTGGAGGTCCGTCTTGTTTCTCAAACGCTTCAAGACTGCGAGGTTGGATGTGGCCAACTGACGAGGCCTCAGCCAGGTGCCAAGAGTACAGAGAGCCTGTCCCAGAAGCGAGTCAGATACTACAGCGATGGCTGTGGACGAATAACGCGCAGTGCTTCGGAAGTGTTCCCTGCAACTGCGATGACAGGATTTATACACAGCACGATGTGCGAGGTGCATCCATGAGGGTATATCCGGAGTCCGGAGAATTTCTTGCGATGTGCACCATTGATGACGTCCTGCTTTTGGTTTCTCCTAGGTCCTAGGTGCTAACCGCTACGTACCTGGTCAGTCTCTTATGATCTCGTGTGGTGAAACAAGACTGGAGCAATTTCGTGACCTTTGAGCCCATCCTCCAGCCAGCTGAGAGACCTCGCGCGACTCGACTTGGTGATGGCTCAGATGCGTTTTGGACTGAAAACGGATGGCCTCATAAGACTGCACTGCACGGACGTCCCAGTCCCTAGGTCTTAGGTCCTTGTGGATCATGCCACCCCTGTGGATCATGTTTGTTTTGATTTGGTTGGTCACCCCTGTATAAAGTTGAAGTAGGAACCTACCACATGGGAGTGAGCAGGAACCTACCACTGGCAGTCCGGACTGCAGATAGCAGACCTGACCAGCTAGACGTGACAAGTCTGAGAAACAGTCGTGCTCAGACGTGACAAGCAGCAACAGAGCGGAGGGACTCTTCAAGTGGGGCCACGAGGTGACGAGGTAGACGAGGTGAAGTTGTGCCACGAGGTGAGGTGTATCAATTGGAGGCGATCTTTCTCACCTTCCGAAGCTTCTTCGATACTCCCTTAGACTAAAGACTAGGTAGCCATTTGCCCAATGGCGTTGCCGCTTCTCCAAGATGCTGGAGTCAGCGTTGGAGAACATCCTACTGCAATACTTGGCTCCATATGTGGATGGCATCACACGGGACCGAAGATGGGGGGCACGGACTTCCAGCGTCTTTCTCCTGTGCTTCAAAGAACATGTTGATGCAACTGTTGTTTGTTTCCTACCCAGTCTGGACGATTCGAAAGCAGAGACGTTCTATAGATGCTGCATGATGCTGCCATTGAAGAAGTCGTGCACCCTGAGATGGGGAATGCTGATGAACGCTGTTCAGCACTTTGTTGTTTGCATTCGCATACATTTACAGGTGTTGGTGGGTCCAAGTGCTGACCATGTGGTTTTGCCATGTTTTGCCCATGAGGGTTTTTGCTCCAAGTTCGAAGGCTTGCTAGCTGACGGATCTCCAGGTCCGGACTGTTTCTAACACCCACCATGACACAGTGCAGACCATGTCATTTTTTGCACACCTGCAGTCACATCAGTCATAGAGACAGATTCCGATGGCGTGAGTTCCTTCTTTTGCTTACCTCTTCCGTTGGTCGAACCTTGCGACGCCATCCCATCCCATGCGCGTTTCACGACACGACGCGACCGTCCGATCCGGTGGGCGTGGCAGGACAAGTTGCATTTGGGCGTTTTTAGCGGCTCTTTGCAGCCGCTCGACCGCGGCGACCGCGACCAGTGACGACCGACCTGGGACGGCGATGGAGACGGAGACGGAGACAGCGACAGAGTCGACAGGCTCTAGTAGGCTCGACGGGCTCAGACAGGACCGTGCTGAAAAAGCGATATACAAGGCTCAATGTGTGGAAACAAGAAAAGCGAGGAGTGGAGGAGTGGAGGAGTAGACACCAAAAGAACGGATGACTTCTCAAGCATCTGTGCTCCCATCAGGTTGGAGCATTTGGAAGTTCGCCCTGATGCTTTGAGCACCTTGGGCCAGGGCCTCGCAAACTCTCAGGGTGCATCAGTTGGGCTGATGAACTGGGGGCAGACACCTTCTCAAGAAGGTTGATGGCTTACCCCCATCATCCCCCATCCATTATATACTGGTACTTCCCTTTGGTATTTGGATGTGCTTGGTATGCTCTTGGACCCTTAGTTCATAAGTTATATAAGGGATTTGCCACTAAACCCATCTAACCCCCCCAAAAGTTAAACCCTTGGCAGAAGATCTAAGGACATTCAAGCATCTAAGCAGACTTGATCTTCAGGACCAGACCCCTTTCTATAGATTCGCTCAGCACGAAGTCCTGAGGCTGGGGTGGCTTCCGGGTGCGGCGAGGCCGTATTGAACGGATTTCCTTAGCAATTCCATGGACCAAGCTCTACACAGGTGCGGGATGGGCATGATGCGGATGCAGCACCATACGGGAGGAAGTGAAGAACAAACACGGCCCAAACAACTTCCTCTGTGGGTTTTCCACAGAACCATCGCGACGAGCCTCACAAATCGAAGGAAGCAGCACAGATCGGCGGCCACGACACGGTCGAAGCTGTCTCAGCACACAGATCGGTTCGGTTCAACCGTGACCTGAGACAGCTTCGACCCGTGGACAGCGCGGTTCTGAACAGCGGTTCGCGACCCTTGCTCAGTTGGTATAGACAGATGGCCTTTTCCCTGGTTGTTGGTTCATTCCGTTGAAAAAAAGAATGGATACCTTCAGTGAACGAATCCAATGGAGATGAATGAGCCCCTCCGCTTCAACCCCCCGGGTGCTCCTGGCCACCGGGTCCCTCGTGTCTCGCTGCTTCGTGGCGCGCGCGACACGGGGCACCCGTGCGGTGCCAGGAAAAGTGAAGGCCTCCGTGCGGTGCCTGCATTTGGAAGTCGAAAGCCTGGCGGAGAGCGCGCAGGGGAAAACACAGGAGAGTCTGCCAAAAGAAAGAAGCAGGGCAATTCATGGGCATCCGGAGAGGCTTTTTAGGAGGTCGGTGCTGGTAGTTTACACCGGAGCCATTTCTATTGGTGTTGGGGGTGCGTCAATCCTGTAGGTGCAGGGAGTTTTTATCAAAAACTCAGAGCGTGCATCATGAACAACGGGTGCTCGCACCTGTTGCAGGATGATTTTGTTAAAGAGATGCTTGAAGCCAAAGAGAAGGTGCGCGGAACCGGAACCCGCGGGAACCGCGGTTCGAGTCCGGAAGCACAACGGGACAGGAGTCCGGAAGGCCCAGAGCGCGAATGGGATGACGAATTCCCGAATGGATGGCAAGGAAAGAAAGTGAATGTGCATTTTCTAGAGGTTTTCGTTGCTGCACATGGCTCTTGTTTCGAAGGACTTGCGACAGTTTGTGGTCTTTTTCCTTCGATATCCAGAGACCCTGTGCCTGCCACGCCTTGCCCTCGCTCACTCGCGAGGCCATTGCCGTGCGAATGGAGCAGCTTCAAGACTTGGTGGACAAATCGAGCGACGCTTCGCTCAGCAGATATGGCTTATCATGGGTTTGACATCCCCAGAAGGTTGACACTTGATGATGCAACCCCCAACAAAAACCTATTATGTGAGTGGTCAAAGATCTTTGGTTGACTGGTTTGATTCATCAAACAACTGTCCCCAACTGTAAGCGGGGGAAACTTGGGGGTGCCGCCACTGCAATCGGATAGGATCGGTGTTGCCAATCGGGATGGTTCGAGCTCTGCCAATCAATTTGACACACTTGGTGTGGGGGCGACTCCCCACACCAAGCCACCAACACAAACCACCTGTGTCTGGACCAAGCAAACACCGTTTTCATATGTTTTCATCCGTGTTCCCAGTGTTGTGACTTGCTTCCAAGAGTGCCACTATAGTCACTAGACCCCTCTCGCACCCCGCTGCGAAACAACGACCATTTTGCATGGTTTTGCAGTTGTGCCCGACCAAAACCCTCAGGATGGCGACGAAGGTGCCAACGATGTGGATCGTGCCAGCCTCGGCATGAACTTGGCACGAAAGATCTTGAACAACATCACCGTTGAGCTCGAGGCCGGATGTATTCCAACCTTCCATCAGAGCTGGGATTGTTTCACCGTCTGACTTATTATGCTTCTTGAGTGTTCCAAAGGGGGCAGACATGTTGTTTAAAACTCGTTCGATGCGTTCAGTATGTGTTCTTGGCATACCACACAGTCGGGGCCCCAAGAGCCCAACGACTGAAGTTTGTCATGTTCAATCAATATCTTCTCAATCCATCTCAAGAAGTAGGAACATACACAAAATTGAACTACAGTACTATATACTATAACTTCATTCATCCACACTCTGGGTTGTAGCTTTGAGGTAGCAACATCAATGCCCGTTGCTGACGGGAGATCACCCCCCACTCACACCTTGATCCTGGCACGAGGAAGGTGCTGCCAAGATCTCCCAAGATTCTTGCTCGCTTTCATGGCTTGCGTAAACTCCAGAATCCCAATCTTCGCACAGGCTGTTGGGACTGTGCTTCGCTTCGAGCTCAGGCCCCCCCCGAAAACGGCCATATTTCTTCACCATATGTGTGCTTGGGTCAGGAGGTGCACGTGTCCTTCATCAACAGCAGTCGTGGCCTGGCGTGTCGCGTGGATTTGCCCAACTTGGCCGTGCTCTCCACGGATCGGACCTTTCGCCCGCGGGACGACGCCGAAGGCGGTGGGGTCTTTGCACATTGAACGGCGGCGTGGGCGTGGATGGGAAGTGCGAAGTGCCAACTGGAAGAGATCAAGTTCTTATCATTACTCCAGCTTATAATGGAAGTAGACACCACCCTGTTGGTCGGGGACTGCGAGTCTTCTATGGGGTCCAGTTTCAGCTGCTCTCACGGCTCTAGAGCATCAACATCACGGCTGTAGAGAGCTCTATAGGTGGCCACCCCACGACCTGGTGGCGCTGAGGACCCCACGCCTCGCGGCCCGTGCCGCGTGCAGGTGCAGTGGTCCCCGGGCAATCGATGTACAAAACGTTGATGCTGCAACAGTTGAGCATCAGCCCCTCGGTCTGCCGCCGTTGACCGTCGCACCGTGCGGGACCCGTTGGACCTCTGCTAGCGACCGATCAAACGTGCGTTTTGATGGACGCCATGGACACGTTTTGGATGTGTCAATATGTTGGTTCTTTGGTGTCCTCCTGGATGACGGATGATCCGGTCAAAGCCAGTCTGATTTTTTGTTGCCGCTGATGCGTTTGAGCTGGAGGTGTCACACCTGCAAATGGGATGGACTAGGGAGGTGATGCAGGGTTCTATGGAAGTGCGCTATGCAATTGAAGCCTTATCATCCTAAGGCATGTCGCCTGCTGGTAGCAATCACTTGGAGGCGCGAGGGCGCGTGTGTGCATGTCGCGCAACTGGTGGTTGATTCTGGACCACCTGACAAGCGGCAATCCCTTTAATATCAGGAGAACATATTTGTGACATTTGTGCTGCACATTGTTACTTGCATGTTCATGGTCGTGTTTTGAACAAACACCGCGTGCTTTGGCCTGGCAAGCGCAAACCGCGTGCCGAGGATGCGGAGTATGTGTTGAGCCCAGTGAGCGCCAACCTGCAACTGGCACATGAGCCGGCGAATAACATCTTGATTCTTGACTTCATATTGTTCACCTGTGACGCAGGTCGAATGCAGCTGCGTTTTTTGCCAACTCGCCGAGAAACATCATTTTGACGGACCAACACATTTTTCATGCGCTCGCAGGGGGAGCTCAGGGAGGCCCACTTTGGATGCAAGGTGCCTTTAAGACTATAATTTGCAGGCTCCACAGTCGGCCAGAGCTGTTTGGCATATGCATGATTGATCATTATTGGTTACAGCATGTTGCTTTCAAATGTGGAATAATGGATGCTCCATTTTGCACCTTGGGTCACCTTGGCATGAAGGTGTTTACCGTTGCTCCGAAAGAATAGGCACAGTCGTAGTTTCTGAAGCCAGTTGACTTTCTGTGCAGAAGTCGCAGGCTGGACTAGAGCAACCCAACACAACTGGCCATGCATCGCATTGCTGACGCTAAACCATTGTATCTCTCCTCGGTAAGTACAGATGTTATAGATGAAAATCCAGTGGTCAGCGGTTGAGACATAGAACGACATAGACTAATGGACTAAAATTGGCCAAACAAAGAGTGACTACCAAAAACAACTTGAATATCACCCCTATTTGAGGACCTCCCAGCAGAGTTGCAACCTCGACAGCGCAGACTTGCGCTCCGGCACACACACACACACTTGAGATATTGTGTACGGAACTGAATGCGGTGCCACACGCC